AGGAGGAGGAGGAGGTAAAGGTTGGCGAGTGGAGAAAAAAGTCCGGGGGGAGGAGAGCCGTTGGGATAGATCGATGCGCGTGCTGGAGTGGTTAGATGCGGACTGCGGCTCGCGCCTGGCACGACACTACGAGAAGGACGGCGGGTGGAGACACCACGGAGACATCAGCAAATCCTCCACGCCATCCCCGCCAACGCCGCAACTACAAAAACAACAACAGCCTCATTCGCAGAAGCGACAACAACAACAACAACAGCAACAGAAACAGCTACAACAGCAACAGGGCAGGGGACAGCAGCAGCAGCAGAAGCGTCAGCACCGACATCATCAACAACAACAACAGCAACAACAACAACAACAGCAATATTATTATTGTCATCAGCGGAAAGGAGTTGGAGTTGGAGTTGGTGTTGGTGGTGGTGGCCGAAGACAACAGCAACCTCTGCGTTTGACGCGCAGCAGCAACATTGTCAGCTCGACAACAACAGCCGCTACAGCAGCAGCAACCACCACGGCTCGCTGGCACCCGCCCCGCTACGCCTTGGACGACTCGTTCATCTACATCAGCAGCGACGATAATGACGACGACCACCGGCGGACGTTCGAGGATAGCGACGACGACGATGATGATGATGATGAAGACGACGAGGAGGAGGAGTTTTTCAACGACGAAGACGCAGACGATGACGATTTGGTCCTGGCCTTGAGGAAATGGCAGGAGGAGCAGGAGCAGCAGAGGGAACACTACGAGAACATCTCCATGCTGGACTATGTGACGAGCAGCGAAGAGGAAGACGAAGATGATGACAAAAACGACAACAACAACGATAACGCTGACGATGACAGTGACGAGAATTATGTAGAGAGCGAGGACGAGCTGGTTCTGGCACTGAAAGCTTGGAAAGAGGACCAAGCCCGGTTGGCGTATCTGCAGGAAAAACAACAGCAGCAGAAACTACAGCAGCAGCTACAGCTGCAGAATTCTCAACTCGCGGTGTTGACTCCGGTGATTGAGGAGCGTCCGTCAGCCGTCCAGTCCCCAGACTCTGCTACAGGCGGGGGCTTAACCTACCAGGGCCCAGTGGTCAGCTCGTTTTCGTCTTCCTCCACCTCGGACAACAAAACGTCTCAGTTCTGCGCGGGGATCGCTCCGTATTGGTGGGGGGACATTAGCAGCGTCCGAGAGGGTCCCTCCTCTCCGCCTGTGACGGTAAAACACTTAGAACCCACGTCAAAAGCGGCGCAAAAATCTTCGCCTTCGTCTCGCCCAAATGAACACCCCCTCAGCGGATTTTCGGACAGGAGTCAAAGTGCGACGAACGTTTCAAGACTCGGTGTAGGATCAGGTGCAACAACGACCACCTCGAAAAAATCCCCTGTAGGACAACCACAAAGCTCGGCGTACCCTCTGTCACCTTCAGCAGCTAACAGCTCGTCCTCTGCTTCGTGCACTTTGACCCCGAGCCAACTACAACTACCCGCGAACATCCCCTCCTCACCTTTCTCATCATTATCTCCTGTATCATTTCCACCAGCACCACCGTCATCGCCTTTGTTGTTAGCGTCTCATCACCCCCCGTCTCCGAAAATCGATGCTGGTAGCCCAAATTGGAGCCAAATCAGGAGCACTAACAAGACGGAGACGACAAGCCCTAACACAACAACGCTCTCTCTCTACCCTCTCCTTCCACTGGCTGGGGGCGGGGCTGCTACTGACGGAAGTGGTAGGCTTTCTGGACACCCTGGGGGCAGCGGCCTTTGCGTTGATTCCGGGGCCGGGGAGGAATCCTACGCTCACGTCATAACTGGTTTAACGGCCCCAGGGCGGAGCGGCCAGCCGGTACTCATTAGCAAGAACTCGTCCACGGGTTTTAGCGGACTCGCTGCTTGGCCAGCCGCCGGCCCCGCGGGGGACAGAGGCGACAAATCTCCCTCCGGCCTGTCCTTACACTCCTCGTCTGCACCCGCGTACCAAATACAAGCAGGAACCGCTGGGAAATCCGGACTCAAAGGGTCAACAACGTATTCTGCGAGTAATAAATCGGGTAGGGATTCGGATAGGGAATCGAGTGATAGACACACGCTTAGGATTGTAGCCCCCACATCCGGAAATAGCGATTCCGGGTATTCGGGCACGCCCTCCCCAGTGCCGACGCCTAAATCTGGAGGTATTGATAAAATAGGGGAGTTTTTCAGGAAGTTTGGACACAAATTATCACCTCCAGTAACATCGTCTTCTTCAAGTAGCAAAAGCCCTCCACCGTCTCCGAACCATTCATGGCGACAGCTGCAACAGTCACAACAACAGTATCAGCAACAGCAACAACAACAACAACAACAACAGCAACAACAACAACAACAACAAGAACAACAGCAACAACAAATGTCGCGATTGTCGACTGACATAAAAGGCACGGGGAAACTGTCTTCTTCCACCTCTTGCCTTCCCTCTTCTCATCGGCGCACCGGGGCCCCCCACTCCCCCGCGGCCCTTCTCGTCGCTTCCCACGCCGTGTGTACCGCCACGAAATCGGACCCTTGTGCCACGAGAGGGGGCCCCAAGCGCACTTACAACTCCTGGTGGGGCGCTCAAAACAGCAGCGCCAACCAAAACAACAACAACAACAGCAACAGCAACAGTAACAACAGCAACTCAACTTTAGTATCGTCGTCGTATTCTTCTTCATCATCGAGGACGCAATTCGCTGGTCCCGAAAACCCGAACGCCGGACGGCCCTCGGCGGTTGTGATACCGCCCCCTAACTCGTTTAACATTAATTCTTCTTCTTCAGTCTCTCCGCGTGGGACTGAAACGAGCAACAACTTCGCCGCTAGTGGTGCAAGGGGGACAACCGTGAATTCTCACACTTGCCACAAGCCAGCCGCGACTATCGACGCTGATTGCACGACGGTCGGCACCGGGAGCGTTTGCGCGGGAAAATCGAGCACGGGTCCTGCCGTCGTCTCGTCGAGCGCGCTCAACGTGTTTGTCGTCCCCCCAACGGTAGCGGATCGAAGAGCGGCTGTCCAGCAGTTGCTGTCTCAGACGACAGCGGTGGTGGGTTCAGGCGGTGGCGGGAACAACAACAAGGCGTTTTCGGCTTCCTTCCCCGCGTCTCCACGCGCTACGGCCGGCTTTGTGAGTCCAGCGAGCGAGGCGGACAGCGGAGCGGGGAGGAAGTGCGTACAAGCTTCAGCGGGTGCCAACTTTGGGGACCGGGGAGGAGGTGGTGGTGGAGGAGGAGGAGGAGGAGGAGGGAGAGGAGGAGTTGGAGGAGGAGGAGGAGTAGGAGGAGGAATAAGCAGTGGCGGCAGTTGTGGTGAGAACCAGACGACATTATCATCAGTTGGTGGGGGGACTTCTCCTCTTCTTCTCACGGGCGACAGATCCCCTTCGAGTTCGGCGGGCGTCGGCGCAAAGGTTAATCAAAAACGTTTTCGTCTTACTCTGGGACAGGCGCACCATCATCACCAACAACAACAACAGCAACAACAACAACAACAACAACAGCAACAACAGCAACAACAACAGCAACATCGTCATCAACCGCTACAGAAGCACCTTTCTCTCCCGCTGACAGGAAAGAAGGGGACAGGAGAAATCAATAAGAAGAGTTTTGGGGTCTCGGCTAACGAGCTACAGCCCGGATCTGAGGGCCCCTCTCAACAGGCCCCGAAGTTTTTTTTCACCGACAGTTCGGACGTTTTTAGAAAATCTTTCGATGCCTTGGACTCCATAAATGGGGATAATCAGCAGCTGAGTGCGAGCCGAGGGACGGCGTGGAGTACCTCTAACCTCACGGCGGCGGCTGCTAATCATTCTTATAATAACTCAGCGAGAAGCGGAGGACTCCAGGGTGCACGAAAGTCGCCCGTCTTTTCCGAATCTGAGCACGGAGGCCATTGTGACACCGGCGCGGAACGAGAGCATCCCTCTTCTAGTAGTAGTACTAGTAGCAGAATACGGACGTTGTTTGGAGGTAGCAGCGCCTCGTGTTTGATTGGCGGTGGTGGTGGTGGTAGCGGTGGTGGAGGTGTGGAGTCACTTGGCCCGAGTTCGGACCCTTCTCTGTCTGGCGTGAGTGCTGGTGTTGGTGGTGGTGGTGGCGGTGGGGTTGTAGGAGGAGGAGGAGAAGGAGACAGAAGAGGAGGGACGACAACGGCCGAGGCGGAGACTGCGGGGTATGTGTACATGCGGCCCATGATTGAGGCCAAGAGGAGGGGAGGACTCGGCGAAAGCTCGTCTGAGAGGTCCTCCTCTACCAGCAGCGACGAGCGCGGGACGCTAACGGTACCCTCCCAGGACAGGAGCAGACGAGGCTCACACGGAACATGCAACCATCTATTTTTAGAACAAGGGCGGAAATCTCCTTTACCTCCCAAAGGGAGAAAATCTCCGTCCCCTGTTCGAGGTCTTTTCAAAAACGTCGTCAACTCCTCATCTTCGTCATCGACGGAGTCGTCGTCCAAACACCAGCATAAGCTTACGAAAGCCTTTTCCACGTCCTCCCCCTCATCACCGCCCCCTCACCTACAACACGAGAAGGCGTCGTCCGCTAAAACCTCCCCTAAACACGCGGCGGCCACTAGCCAAAGTTCTTCCGAGTCACCGACCAAAAAGAACATCAGCGCCGCCCCCGACTGCCCCCTACCCCCTGCTTACAGAGGTAGGAGGAAATTTTCCGACACCGGCCTGACCCCTGTGCCAAAACGTCTGTTTAGCGAGACGCAAGGAAGGAGGGGCTCGCTCACGGATGAGCGCACGCTCGTTTTTGCCAAGTGTAAACTGGGGAAGCTCCGGCATCAAGGGCGAAAGTCTTCAGATGCTGGTAGCGTCGCGGCGCTGGTCAAACAGATTCACAACTTGTGGGGGGAGTGCGACGAAGAGGAAGACCAGCTGCAGAGACGGGAGTCTGGTGCAGGTTTCACGGGGAGTTTTGACGACCAGGTGCTTTACGATAAACGTCGGAAAAAGTTTCCCTTTTCTCTGAGTAAAGACAAAGACAAAGATAAAGATAAAGACAGAGACAAAGACAGAGACGGTTCATTCGGTGGTAGCGCGGGTAGCGTGTCTGGGCCCGCCGCCACGCCCCCTATTGGTTGTGATCGTAAGTTGCTGAGTCGACTCCCGTGCGCGGGTCACAGTGGGGGAGGGGACGGCGGCGGTCCTGAAACTGACGGAGGAAGTGTAACCACCTGTTCGGGGGATCATCATCATCATCATCATCATCAGCAGCAGCAGCAGCAGCAGCAGACGTTCACAACAGCAGCAGCAGCAGGGAAGAGCAAAGGCAAGTCTGTGGTGGAGAGCAGGGATCATCAAAGCTCTACTACTACTGCTGTCTCCTCGTCCGCTCTCATCCCGCTCGCTCAAAGCTCGTCGGCGTCTTTATCTGCCTCTCACCCCGGACTCTCTGCCACTAGCGGAGACGCCAGCTGTCAAACGCCTGATAAGATTTATTACTCTGCACTGACAGACTCGGCCACCGGCGAGATAATCGGCCCCGGTGGCAATTATTCCTCATCTTCGTCGTCCTCACTCCTCACACAACAGATCACGACAGGAGGCGGAGGGGGAGGAGGAGGGAATGGAGGTGGTGGTGGGGGGTTGTTAGTAGCTGCTAACGGTGCTGGTGTTGGAGGTATTGTTTCTGGTAGTGGTGGTGGTAGTGTTGGTGGTTGTAATAGTGTTAGTGGTAGTGGTGGTAGCAGTGGTGGTGGTGTGTTCGGAATTCTCAGCGGAAGTGAATTTGTGGCGCCTGTTGCCCAAGTGGCCAGTCGACAGTTGGTCGCTACAGCCGTGAGCGGGGCGGCTTGTCTAGTGTGCCCGGACGCTCACCCCGATACTCTCATCACGCGCGGTGGGGGCGCGGGCGGAGGTGGGGGCGCTACAAGGGCCGGCAGCAATCAGCTGGTGAGTTGCGGGGTCCAGACAAATACATGCGCCGGACAACAACAGACATTCGCGAGCGGATCTCACTATCTCAACAACAACAACAGCAACTACAACAGCAGCAGCAGCAACAGCGCTCTGCAAGCTACATCAACTGCTTTGACGTCGTCTTCTTCTTCTTTTTCATCATCGCATAACGCTCATCCCCACCACCAACACCACCACAATAGTGGGGGCGGAGGATTAGGAGGAGGAGGGGGCGGTGGTGGCGGTAGTGTCGCTTTTGTTGACAGCAGTACGTGCACGAGTACTTTTGGATTAGGCGTGAGTGGCGGCGGAGGAAGCACAACAGCTTGCAGCAGCAACAGCAACAACAGCAATTATGTCGCGGCCACGGGATCTTCGTCATCGTCATCCTCCACCTCCACCCCCTCTAAAGCAGGAAAGCGCGTCGCCACCGTTCAGTTCCAGCCTGTAGGTAGTTGGGACGATAATTCCGTGGAGGGGACCAGCTGCTCCCCAGCGCACCGCTCGGTTCTCAAACAAGGCGCGAGACGCCACTCGTCCTTCGCGGGGTTCACGGAAGCCTCTGAGGAGCTCCACCACCCTCACACAGACTCAGGCCCGTCGGAACACTTAGTCTCCGTGCTGAAAAAACAAGGCAAAAACAGTTTGCCCAAATCGAAAACGTCGGATAACTATAAAAGTATTCTCAAACAGAGCGATCGACCCGAACTGACACATATCGATTCCACCGGTTCGTCGTCTCACGGCGACAAGAAGCGGGCGAAATCGCCGTCGCCGAAATCGAAGAAGAACGAGAAAGGCTTCGATTACAGCCCCGACCCCAAATCCTCGGAAATCTCGTTGTCCCTGTGTCTCAAAGCCACTCGCAGTCTCTCGCCAAAATCGAAAAAGTCGAGGGGAGACAATCACAACAGAGACCGACAGGATTCCCTCGAGTTATCCTCATCGCAGGCCACACCGCTCTCGTCGACCGACAGAGAAGTTCTCACCGACTCGGGAAACTGCTCCCTCGACCTGCCCACCAAAACGGTAGGGGTACAGGCGACCCCTCGTACTATAGGCAAAACTTCCAACACAGGCACGCAGACTTCAGAACAGCTCTTCCGCCAAGGTTCAGCAGACGCTGAAGTTTCCGTGACCACCAACACTGAGACGTCGGGTTGGCTTCAGCGGCTAGCGGCCAAGTGTATGGCTAGCGTCGGCGGTTCGAGTAGAAGCGGGGCGCCAGGCGGAGCAGCCGGGGGTTCGAGTCTCCCTAGAGCGGCGAGTGTGAGGGCTGAATGGCTCCTGGGCAACAAAAGGATGGGATCAAACCCCAGCTCTCCTGTAGCCCCGGGCGGGGACGCAAGCGAGAAGTTCTGGGTACCCCATGATGTCATCGCTAGGAAGCGAGCTCAGAGTCTGGTGCCGACCCTTTCCAAACAGGAGAGTGAGGAGGGTGAGTACCTTATGTTTTATTTATCTATGTCGCGTCTGTCTCTCAACTGAACTTTATTTCTTTTTCAAATCCAGCCTGTTCAGTTTTCCCACGTTATCCAGCTGGGTGAACAGTTACGTCATTTTCTGTGTCTCTATCTCTGCAAAACATCATACTATATGATATATCTATGTTGTATTTATCTGTCACTAGGACCTTTTTTTAAAATCCAGTCTGTTCATTTGTCTCACTTTATCCAGCTGGATGAAAATAGGGTCGGTCTCTCTCTACATGTCTTAGTGATATTTATCTCTTTCTGCGTGTGTCAATGTTTGCCCGCGCGCGCACACACATACACACACACGCAAACACACACACACACACATACACATAAATGTATTCCCACACACACACTCACACACATACACACTCACATAGCAACACAAACACAAGCACAACACACACACACACACACACACACACACACACACACACACACATACACACACACACACACATACACACACAGCAACACAAAGACAAACAAACACAAATACACACATTCTCTCTCTTTCTCCCTCACACACA